AGAGGCCCCCCAAGAGGCCCCCAGGAGGCCCCCAAGAGACCCCCAAGAGGCCCCAAAATGGCCCCAAGAGGCCCCAAGAGGCCCCCAGGAGGCCCCAAAGAGGATCCCGGACGGCCCACAGAGGCCCCCCCGAGGCACCCTCAGGACGACCCTCTACTCGCCTGGGCGTCGTTTCTGGGCGGGCTGGTGGGGATACGCGAAGCGTCTAGAATTGCCCTGCTACTCTTAAAACTAGTGTTGATGTTATTCGTGTTTCTGTTACTATGATTAACCATCTTCTTCACATTACTAGGAACGTCCGTCTTAGTATGAATGATAGCCTTCGTTTTAACAAAAGTCCCCTTAGCAATAGCAGCACACGCCTAATCACTATTCATGTTGCTCGTATTATTCGTATTATTATTGTTATGCGTCGCAATGTTAGTATTCATACGATTCGCATTAGCATGTGTCTTCTTCGTCTCCTCCTTAGTATGATTCTTCTGTGTTCGTCACACTCTTATTATCATTCGACTTAGTATTGTATTATTCCGCCTCCTCCACCACCTCCTACTACTACTACTACTAGTGCTACTACTACTACTACTACTACTACTACTACTACTACTACTACCACTACTACTACTACTACTACTACTACTACTACTACTACTACTACTACTACTACTACTACTACTACTACTACTACTACTAACACTACTACTAATACTACTCTTTCTCACCCGCCTCATCATCATCCTCATCCTCAGCCTCCTCCTCCGTCTCCTACTCCTCATTCTCCTCCTCCACAACGTCCTCTTCCTCCTCATCCTCCTCCGCCTCCTCCTCCACCTCCTCTTCTTCCTCCCTTTCCTCCCGCGAACGCCGCCTCGGCCAGTCCGATCCACGCACTCCAGGAGGACTATGCGTGCTCACGGGTCTGCTCCTGGCCAGGCCTTTAACCCTGGTGGCAGTTTCCCCTTGGTGGGCTTCAAAAGGGCCTTGTGACCCCCACTCTGGCTGTTGCTGGGTGGGGCACAGGGGGCACAAAACTTCTTGGAGGCCCGAACCCGCCAACACCCGCACCGCCGACACCAGAGAACCCCGCGACAGATGGCGAGATGGGGTCGGTGGCTGGGATGGAGGGCGGGCCCGTCGCCTTCCGTCAATTCAAAACTTGGCACTACTGCCCCACTGGGGCCTCCACTCCCTGGGGCCGTGCCACTAGTTGGGCCAGGACATCGGGTGCGGAGCCACCTGGCGCATGACCTCCTGTGGGCCTGCTTCCCACATCTCGAGCAAGAAATTTGCGTCTCGCTGACGTGGGGCCAGTGGGGGTGTGTGAGAGCAGGTGCTGCAGGGCACGTTCGCTCCGCTCGCGTCTGCGAGCTCTCTTGCATTCGGCGCTCCCTTCTGCAACTGGAAAATGGGTCCACCACAACATTTGGACCGCTGCCAGTCGTCCTCTGATATGTTCGCTGAGGGTGTCGAGGGCCAACACTCTCTGAGCTAGGTCAGCGGGCACAGCAGCTTGGGCAGCGGCTTCGCTTGCGAGCCGACCTGCCTGGTCATTGACATACAGGGCCCATTCGGGAAAACGGGCGCGCACCTCGGGGTCGGTCGCATGACTCTTGACCTTGAGGTAGCTCAGACGCCCCTCACGGGTCCCCAAGACGCGCCAATATTCAAACCAGAGCCGCCTACTGGTGGCCTGCCTCCTACTGGGCCCTTTGTAGTGGCCCTTGGTTAGGTACGCTGAGTCTGTCCTCCCTTTCCTCCTCCTCCTCCTCATATTCCTCCTCCTCCTCCTCATCCTCCTCCTCATCGTCCTACTCCGCCTCATCATCTTCCCCCCCCTCATCTTCCTCATCCTGCGTAATCATATTCCTCCTCCTCCTCCTCTTACCCCTCCTCCTCCTCATCCTCCTCCTATTCGTCCTCCTCCTCGTCCTGTTATTACGTCTCGTCCACTTCATCCTCCTAATCCTCCTCCTCCTCCGCCTCATCATAACTCCTCCTCCTCCTTCTCCTCCTGCCTCCTGCCTCCTCCTCCTCCTCCTCCTCCTCCTCCTCCTCCTCCTCCCCTCCTCCTCTCCTCCTCTCCTCATCCTCCACTCTCCTCCTCACTTCCTCCTCCTCCTCCTGCCGCCTGTCCTCATCCTCCTCTTCCTTCTCTCTCCGCGTTTTCCTTCTCCTCCTCCTCCTCCCCTCCTCTCGTCCTCCTCCTCCTCCTCCTCCTCCTCCTCCTCATTCGTCATCCTCATCATCCGCTTCTATCTTCTTCCCTCCTCACCCTCCTCCCCGCCTCCTCCTCCTCCCGCATCCTCGTCCTTCTGGACCTTCTCCCCCCCCGCCTCCACCCCTACCCCGACCCCCGCCTCCTCCTTCTCCTCCTCATATCGGAACATCCTCCTAATCTTTCTCCTCCTCCACCTCCTCAGCCTCCATTCGCCTCCTTCTCATGCCTCCTCCTCCTCGTTTTCCTTCCTCCTCCTCCACCTCCTCATTCCTCCTCATCCCG